AATCTAAGGAGGTGGATTGGAAATTGACCCTGGAAATGCTCTCACCCACTAAGATAACCTCCCCTCACACAGATCATCAAGACCACAGGAACAGAACTTTCCGTATTAAGACATGGATTAAGGAACACCCAACCATGGCTAAACTCAATACCAGACTACCAGAGGTCTACAAGAACGCAACATGCATAATATGCAACCGTCAGATAAAAGAAGACCTCCACCCCTTCTTGTGTGGCACCAATAATCCAGGATAAGAATCTTTATCAGGGATCTTTGCAGATATGATTTGATCAAAATCTTCAGGAGTTTGTGGTTTATCTTGAGATGATAATATATTAAAATATGTGCATGTGGTAAACCTCTTTTTTGAAATTAAATCACATGAACATGAGCAATGATCTTTCTAAGTATTCCTCTCACAAATAGATCCTGAGTTATTTCTTTCAATTTTAATTTGAAAACTCTTGCAATCAGATCTGATCTATCTGATGCATGTTGATTAGGCAAGAGCTTATCAATAATCTCAAGCCAATTTGGATTGCAGGTAACAGTTAGAAATAGATCTGGTTTTTCAAATTCCCTAACAATGACCATGGAATCTTGATATAACTGTTGAAAATATCTTGTGGATCCTGTGAAGGAGGATGACAATATCACCTTTTTACCAATCTCATTAACATTGATATCCTCATTTGAGATCATGTCACTCAACCCTTGATAAACTTCAGATTTCAATTGTCTTTGATTTTGATATTGCTATCTCAAATTATTGATTTCCTATTTAATATATTAATCCACAATATATTGTTAAAATAATCTGTCTACAAGATGAAAAATGCTTTTGGTTCTATTTGAATATCTGATCATGAATCTGTAGACCACAAATTCCCTAATAGTGACCCTCTTCAATTTGCCCTTTAGTTAAATCTCTGATGATTCCAAATTCTTTTCATCATTGAATTGTAATTTTTCATTATCAGATTCAATTTCTGATTCAATCCTTATGACCTTTTTCTTTCCCTTTCTTCCTTTATCTTCTTCTTTAATTTTACTCATGCTTAAGAAGGATTGAATGGCAAGTTCATCAAAAATGTGACTTGCTCCTGTTTCCCCTTCAGTTTTCTCAATCCTTTCATTTTCTTGAACATTTGCTCTCATGATTCCATTATGTCAACCATATTCTCCAAAAGGAAATAGTAATGGGTATTGCAGAGAATAATATGTTCTATTTAATTCTGATATCCTATTCAGCTTATTATTATGTCGCCTGATTAGAATATCTCTTTCATACATCTTTTCCTCAATAAAACTGATTGCAGCAATCTCTTCTGCATTTGGTGCATTGTATTGTCTCATATCTTTCCCATGAGTATTATAAATGACAATACATAATACTTCATGATCTTGAGACTCTTCAATGATTTCCATGCTCACAAATGTATGCACAAATGGATTATACTCATTCAATTTCTTTTTAAGTTTATCCAATATCTCATAATTCAATGTTTGATTCATTATATTATATCTTCCATTAATTTAATTAACATAATTTGTTGAATCATAAAAATAGATTTGAGCAAATTTGGATTCTTCATCAGGTTGGGGCATCAGTGAACCAATTTCATAATATTTGTTTTTTTTTTTTTAATGCTGGCGTAGTCATGCCATGTAGCTTTTAATTTAATCATTAATATTCCCTTATGTACACAA